GAATAATAGAAGATTTGATATGTGCATTGAATATAAATAGTTAAGAACAATAATAGCCTTGATAAAATTATCCATATTTTGTGCCTTCCCCAGATGACAGTCAGAATAACTTTAATTGGTTCTTTTTTCATAAAGTATAACAAGAGCAGCTTTTATAAACCACTATTTTTATAAAAAATTGTTCTCCAAAGGTCTGTCTTAAACACTTTATTGCAATCACATTTGCCCTTTTCTTAGAGAGCTTAGCCAAGTCTGTATTCTAAGCATTAGTTATCTTGGCACCAGAGAATCAGAAACAGATAAGAATGGAACCATCTATTCTTCTTTGATGGGTGAATCTGCCTTACTTCCAGCAGACCTGCCAGGATCTCATGCTGACATAAGGAAAGAAAACTAATATTGACATTTTTCTCCCTCTGCTGAGGCAGCCATTGCTCTTTCAGTAGTGTGATACATGGTGCAATTAATACTCTCGGTGTACACTATATCATTCTTCCGCCTCACTATTCCAACCCATCACCTCCCTTTTAAAAGATGCTTGGCTTATTTATGGGCTGAAATATACCAGAATCCAGAAAATTACAGATTTAGGTTTGTGGTATTTAAAAAATACTGCTCTTGTCTAAGAAATCATGTAGGAGAGAAATCATGTTCCCTCCCCCCCCACACACACACACATAAATGCAGATTCTAACATAAACTAGTTGAAGGAAGTTCAGAAGAAGGATGTTTCCATCCTATTTTCTCCAGCCCATAATCTATTCTGGGATTCACAAAATAGGGCAGGGGACAGAGCAAATAGTATACTGTAAGTCTAAAAACCAACAAAGAGTACAGACAATAAACAAAAGCACAGTTGATATCCCAGCTGAAGTTAGCAGACTCCAGTATAAAGAGCAAAGAATTATCTTGGGGCAGATGAGAAGCCAAGTAAGAGGTAGGTGATAGGTTCCCTTGTGGAGATTGTGAGCTGCTTGGATTATTGTGGAGGAAAGACACCGATATAGCACCACAACACTCACTGCATGTTGCTCTAGATACAACACACTCAGCACATGAGCAATTAAGGATCCAGCCTCCCCTGCACTGACATCACTCACATATGATCAATATCATGTGTTCAGCTATATTATGTGGTCCTGGTTCATGTGAAGATCTTGGAAATGGAAATATGCCTTTAGCCTTTCTCCTGATGGACAGCTGTGCTGACTGCATGATGTGAAATGAGGACCAAATTCAAACCCACCCTCAAGCTATAGAATCTCAGTGGGTGACTTGGGCAACCCCTACTTTCTCAGCCTAGCCTATCTGTCAGAATTGTCATGGTGATAGTGAAAAATGGGAGGAGAAGACACTATGGACATTGCCTTGAGTTCTTGGGGGAAAATGATGATAAATACTGCTGCTTTTTGTGACTTTAGTGGGAGACAGGATTCACCTGAAACACTCGCTTGATGAGCATTGTTTTGAGCAAGCCCTAAATGAGATTATGGTCAGTGCAGGATTAACCAGTGCAGTGGTAGATTAATGTTTTTTAAACTGTGGTTTGAGGCCATCATAACTTCAAACTGTCATTAAATGAACACTCATAAGTCAAGGACTACTTGTACATTCTTTTATTTGTTGTTCTGTTTCACATTTCAGTAAGTGTATACATTTTAGAAATTGCATGGTTACCATGTGTACACAATTCTGTCTCACACTGAGTTCTCCAATATTCAGAAACAAATTATTTAGTCTACTTTAAATCTTCCCAATAACTGCAAAATAAGAAAACAAATGGCATCTGTTCTTCTCTTCATTTTATTTTTATTCCCTTTGACAAAATTATATTTCTTGGTAATTAGTCATTTTTGTTTGCCTGTGATTTTTCATCTATAAAACCCTTCTTGTGCTGAGAGTCACTAATACATTTTAGGCACAATCTGGGTTTGTATCTATTTCATATTCGCAATATGTCATATATAACGTAATGATTTTTAAAATCCACATTAACTTTTACTTTAATCATGCCACAGATACCATGCCACCCAAAACTCTGGTTATATCCTTCTAACTTCAAAAACCTTTTGTTTCTCAGCAGCATCTACTCTTTCATCCAAACCAAACAGTAAGCTGCAAAATGTGTCTTCAAATCAGATCAATGCAATCTTTCTCTTTCCTTTGCATCTTGTAATACTTTATATTTAACTCATGTTTAATATAGTTAAAGATTTTCCCCTTACCACACAAATTTAGATATATTCTTTTGGCGCTGTTTAAGTGGCACAAAAGTATCATTCTAGGCAGGACTTCCATTTTTATTATAGAAATTCTCCCCAGCAATGACAATTGTACAGTAGTTTCTCTCATCTTAGCAACATAATTATTTTGAAATCAGATACAATTCATATTTGTCATAGCGATATGCAAATATTTCATTTTCTTCTCAATCTTAAAACCCATTTTATTCATCAGTTTTGTTTGATCTCTATTTTCATGCTTTTGTTAACATTTTTATCTTTAGTTTTAATTTAAAACCCTGCTAATGCACCATTTTTTTTAGTTTTCCAATTAATGTTTCAGTTCCCTTTAAGGGATCTTCCAAAGTCAACATCAAGTCATCTGCAAAATGGTTTAGAATTGTTTAAAAAATCTTTACTTTCACAATTCTCTCATTTAATTTTATATCTTTATCCACTATTTCAAGAACCAAAATAAACAACGAAAGAATGTGGCCGTTTCTGTCTTGTTCTTTTTAGTATCTCTATTAGGTTTTTGTTAGATTTCTATCAATAATAATATGTCTTTTTGGTGAAGCATAAATTAATCTTAATATAGTCTGTAGGGATACATGAATCACACAAGCCTCAATTTCTAAAATACTCTTAGATGTAACTAATTTACAGCTAAAGAGATATTTTCTGAGTTGCAGGGTAAGAGACTTCCACTTGGTAACCCAACATTTTTTCTGGACTAAAGGGGAAAAAAAGAGATTTTATGATTTAAAAGACTTTTATCAAAAAGCTTAACAAGAAGTGAATGTAAGAAAGTTGAAAACAGATGAAGGGGATAGTTATTTTGAAATTTATTTTATATTTTTATTATTTATTAATTATTTTTAGTGAATGAACCTTGGAATAATTTGGAATTAAAATAGAGCAATAAAACAAACATTTGTGGGAATGCTTTTTTGTTTACTATTATAGAGTACAGACAATTGGTGGATTTTACAAAACAAAAGATAAGGGTACAGTAATATGAAACTGACTGTGATGCTGACTATAACCACAGAGTGCTATTTGAGACAACTAAAGCATTAAGGACACAGAAAGACAAAACAGAAAAAAAAAGGCTTTCCTTTTACTTTTCCCCTGGCAACTGAAATACTTTCCTTTTTGGATTACAATATTACAATGCCAACCACCAGAAAAGTAGCATGAATAGCAAAAGAGAGGAGAGGATCGCTAGAGCAATCTGTAAAGAGATGAATTATACCACATTTACTTTAAAAAAGATTTGAGGAATTGAGCAATAAGTTAACTGATTCATTTGATACTTAATGGGCCAAATTCCTGGATACTAAATTGACAGTTTTTGAAAAAAAAAGAATGGATGAAAGATTTATAAAGATGAAAGAGATGAAAGAAGTTAAAAAGATGGACAGTTCTCTAAAACAGGTGTTTGGAGATGTAAAATAAATTGTCATTTGTCTTAGAAAGGCAGAAGTTATGGGTAGCTGGAAAGAGAATTAGATAAATTGGGACTACTGGAAGAGATACAGTAAATCCTGATTCAATCTCAATAAGAGATTTAAATACCCAAATAATAGCATATTCAAAATATATCTCCCAGTAGTGTAGTTCTATAGCAGTTCTCTTCCCCTTAGGAGCCTTCTAAAAATAATGACTGTGAATACCATTAATGATACTCAAAAGAGAGGAATCACTTTTTCTAACAATCTTTACTGGAAATTCCTCCCACACACACACACCTAGATAGCAGCCAACCTTGAAGAGGATGTACAGTCACGTTTTAAAGGTCTGAGTTGGTAAAAAGGCTTAATAAAAATAAAGACACTGCATACAAAATGAAAATTACCTATACCTAGATAAAATGTAGCCTAGTTTTGCATAATTTTGATGAAATCCCTGTAGTTCTAAAAGCTCAAGTGAGAAACTCAAGTGAGATTGGAAGGAATGAAGTCGCCTTCAAAACAACCAGTTGTGTCTGGAAGTGAGCCTTTACTACGGTAGGAAAACACATGGGCAATGGTCACAAGCACTATCCAACTTCCAGGGGCAACAGAAAATAATAGTTCAACATATGCCTAAATCTAAATCAAAACACCTCAAGAAGAGTACCGTAGGGAAAACAAACAAACAAACAAATAATCACAAATAACAAAAGGCTACAATTTTTCATAGAATATAAAAAAGCAGAGAAGAAAGAATTGATAAGCACAAAGGAGGTATGCAGGCAGTAACAAAAATGGCAAGGCATTAAGGTGAAAATAGGAAACAAATACCAAGCAAGATCTGCAACAAGGTCACCAGATTTAGTAGTATACTTTCATGAAGAAAGCAGTGACATATTCATCAAAAAGTATGCTGTAAATCGAGCCTTTGATCTAAGAATTTCTAACAAATGATACATTAAACATGCCATGTGTGTTTTTATGTGTGTACATGCACACAAGTGCACATACATGCCAAACCATTTGTGCTCTAGAAAACTCTCAGAACTGAAATACTGCCCAGAAAATGACATTAATAAAAACAAGAGAACAGACTAAGGAGGAGAAACCACTAATCATTACTACTCAGGGGAGTAGGTTGGTTGCAGCTAATAGGCTTTGTGAAAATGCTAGGAATCTATTTCAAGACGCCTCTTGTTCAATACTTATTTCTAACAAATGTGAAATGTGGGCTGCCTTTGCTGTGCAAACACCCAAAGGTATGAAAGTTTAACATTCAATAATCACAACCTCTTTTCTTGCCCCTCTCTTCCTTTGCCCGCAGATGAATCCAGCCTGAAAATGAATGAGGTAGACCATGTGCCTCAGTCTCTTGCTAGCCACTCTGACAGCTACCTCTGGAGGGCACAAAGGGATGAACATGGAGCTGATATGCTGAAGCCTGACCCTCGGGATATTTTCTTCCTCAGTAAGTGGGAGAGAAGAAACAATTTGACTAAGAGAAAACCAGTTGGATACTAGGAACCTGTGTTATGCTCTGAAGTATGATAAAACAAGACACTTGGGGATTAGGCTAAGGAAATATCTGTGTGAGCAGCAAAGGATTAAACAGGCATTCATAAAAAATGTTTATGTATGTGAAATTGACCACTTTTCTGAGAACTTTGGAAAGGGCAAGATAGATCTCTCTAACCTGATGTTCACCAGGAATATTGTGGTACTTCAGCATGGGAATAATGAAAGGTGGTCCAATATTGTTTATAATGCACCAGGGTAGGTAGATCACGTTTATTTATGCTGGATGGAAGAATGTTCTTTAAAAAAGTGCTTCTCCACATAAAGCAAAATCCCTCCTCATAAAGTGTCAAAATAACAAATATCTGGCATTTAACTGAAGAAATTAAGTGTGACTGTCATAGACTAGGAAGAGACTGGACAGCCATTTGTCCGAAATGGTGTAGGGTTTCCTGCCCGAGCAGGGGGTTGGACTAGATGACCTCCAAGGTCCCTTCCAACTTTACTACTATTATTATTTTTTATTATTATAAATCAGACAAGAAGATCACAATCTGGAGGGAATCGTCACTTACGTTGAGTTCGTGTGGACCCTGGAACATCATGTGGTCTAGAAAGGTCTCATTTCTTCTTTCTTAATTGCCTTTATCTCAGCTCCCCAGATTGAGCCATCCCATGTGGAGAATGTGCTGGTCCCCTGTGCCTACAGCCCCACATATGTGGTGAAGGACTTTCCTATTGCCCGCTATCAGGGCCTGCAATTTGTAAGTGTCTGATGGGCTTTGTTACCATTTTTTCCCTGCCCACATCTCTTGTCTTTTTATTATTTCTTGTTAGTATGCAAAATAACAGCATCAAGAATGATCAGAATGTTTTAATAGGAACTGCATTAACATTAGTAAACCAGAAAAGGGGGGAAAGGTGAATCTAGGAAGAGAGAATTGGGAAAGGATAGAGAAGAGAATGGGAAGATAATTGCTGCCTGAATACCAAAACCATATTGAATGTCTTTTATTAATCCCTGTGTTTCTTTAGCCACAATATCCTGGAGTGGAAGTTTGTTTCTCAGTAAAAGAAAATAAAAGCTAAATTTAAATTTAAATTTATCACAACACATACATTGAGATGCAGACCTTAACAATTTCTCTTATCCTAGTTAAGAAAGTTTATGGTCTTGTATAATAATCATGTTTTAGGATTTGCTTGTTCCTGGTGAGATTATCCACACATCTGTTCTTTTTCCTTAGTCTCGGTTGAAACTGGGATGATAGACACCTTAATGGTGACTATTCTCATCAGTTTTCCCCTTCTACAGGTCTACCTCTCTTTTGTTTATCCTAATGATTTCACCCGGCTTACACACATGGAGTCAGAGAACAAATGCTTCTACAGAGAGTCTCCACTTTACCTGGAGAAGTAAGTATGAAGGAGAGTCATTACAAAGCAGCTCTGAAAGAAATGATTGAAGTGTAGAAAGTCCATTGGTGAAAGAAGTATGTTACCTTTTAACAGGCTGAAGGTTCATCCACACAACCTGCTACTGTTTGCAATGGAGCCTCATCTAGGAGGCATGTTGAAGCTGGGTCCAAGATGTTATGGCTTGAAAGAAGTATTTTTCTAGAAGCTCTCTTTTGGACAATAGCAACAGCACCTAGACTTATATATTGCTTTATAGCACTCACTGGGTGGTTTACAGAGTCTATTGCCCCCAACAGTCTGTGTCCTCATTTTACTGACTTTAGAAAGATGGAAGGCTGAATCAACATTGAATCAGTCAGGATCAAACACATGGCTGTGGGCAGAGTTAGCCTACAGCACTGCATTCTAATGACTGCACCAATATGGCTCCTTGACATATGGGGGAAGAGGCTTGAGGTGAGATGATCAGAGATGCAGATCTGCTCAGCTGCAATCCATCTAGCGGTCCTGTGATGGAACCACCTTCTTTCGTTCAGTCTTGGGGCCTGACACTTGTTTCTGTGCTGCTCTCTTGACTCTTGTGTGAGACTAAAATTATCACGCTTTCACAGGGAGATCCTCCCTCCTCATCCCCACTTTAAGTATTGATGATTGGTGGACCTAGAGATCATGAAGCTTTCTTCATGACTAGCCTTTTCTGCCTTAACAAGTGTAATGGAAATAGAGAATTGTGCTTCTGTGGCCCATATGATGAGATATTCCCTTCCCAGTGCCCAGTGCTCTTTGGGAATGTCCCTCAGCCACTCTCTTCTTGGAATGTTCTTTCTAATAAAAAAAAAGTTATTTATAACACACAACCTGGTACAGACAGTTATAATTTTTTCCCCTTCTATCCTTTTGGGTGTTCAAAATGTGTATGTGTGCTATGATGTGATACATGAATCAATGAAGGGGTGAAGCTGGTGGAAGTTGCTGAAATGGCTAAATTGATTTGTTTGATCAGAGAATAGGCAACGACTTTGTTTATTGCTGCATGGTAACGCCTTATAGACGTCTTGCATGAATCAGAAAAAAATGAACTTACCATATTTGGCTTTGATTATTAGACTGGATAAATTGTAGAAAGAAGAGAGCACAACCACCATAGAATAAGGGATAAATTTATAATTGTGCATATAGCTGCTCTAAAGAAAATTGGAAACTACTTCTTTCTATCTTACTGCTTTCTTTCCTATTTTTCTTTTACTTTTTTTTTCTTTCTTGAATTTTTAGGGTTCTCTTTGATTTATTTCTTTATTTTCCATTAGTTCGTATTAGTTTTTATCTTTTTTTAAAATTATACAAAAAATGAATTAGTAAAGAATCTCCAGCTGTTTAACAATGCACTACTATAGCTATATCTCAGTTACAGAAATCTGGACAATCGCTAGGTGGCTAAGGAAGAGGGGGGTTTTGTCTTTTTTGCCACCATCTACCAGTAGTAGTTGATAAATAGATCTGAAATAAAACTGGAGGAATTATGAAGATGTACCTGAGCAGAGCATCCCACAGCTGAACACTTTTCTGAGACACACGAAAAGCCCTTTAACTCTCAAGAACACCTATTCAGTGGCTTCACCTGAGTAGCACAAATCCATAAAGCCACCACATTGCAGTTAGCACACATCACTACCCAGATGCACATTTTGCACATCATTTCATAGTGGCCTTTCCTATCATTAGAGACAGTTGAATGTAACCAAGGAACAGTACCAGTCCCTGCTCTCATATTGCCACTGGAGAAACTGCACAGAAAGCAGCACAGCATGGCCTCATGTTGGATGGTCCTTAGGAGCAGCACGATTTATGCTGACATGATTTCCTCCCAGCTCTGGGGCAGGAGGAGGGCACAGCAAAGCAACTCTGTGGAACTATTTGAAATATAAAATAAGAATGTAAGAGATATTTGACCTTTGGGCTTCTAGCCCATATGATGATAGAAAGGCTAGAGGACAAATACTGTTGACCCATTCCCTAATGATTTGCCTCTCTTTCCCATCCCAGGCATCCCAACTGATCTTAGCCATATTTGCATGGCTATCCTTGATCATGAAACTCTGTAGAAGATGTCTCCAACCCTACTCGGTCGTATTTTTAAAAATGATTAAAATAACCTTGAATGACATGTTACATGTGCTGATGAGTCCCACTTCTTAACTATCAACAGCTGCAGGGAGGAGTCTCTACAATAAATTATACATGAGCTGTGATTTTAATCTGTTCAGGTTCCAGCTTGTGAAGAATCTTCACAGATGTCTGGAAGGCCCTTTCAGCAAACATTTGCAGGAAAGGCATGAACCGCACGGAGAAGGATTACTGGAGGACTGGGGGCTCTTGACATACCTCTGTGTGACACTCTCCTGATACTTGAGCCAGTTTTAATTACAACTGGGTCATGTACAGGAAGTACAGATTTCTGTGACTTAGATATGAGTGCCTCTGACACTGGCATTGAGACAGAGTCTTACCTTTCCCATGCTTTGCTCCACTTACTAATCAGACATGCATTGTGTTCTTTTCTACCTAAGTGTTCAGAAACTCAGTTTCAACAACTATCTCTGTCCTTCAGTACTGGTGCATCTAGGTGAGTACACGTGTGTGGCAGACTACTCCAGAAATCTAGTGAAGCAAGCTGTGACTCACAAAAACTTACCCTTGCAATATTTATAAGTTTCTAAAATGCCCTTCTAAAATCTGTGAGAAATAGGATAATGTAGGCCAAGACTCTCAGATACATTTGAGCAACACAGACTGCATATGGGTTTGTGTAGGTATACATACACTGCATCTGAAATGTTATTTTTTTTAATTCCAGATTTGGTTTTTCTAAGTACATGAAAATGGATGAAGAGGAGGAGGATCTACACCAGAGAGCCTTCCTCTTCCTGAACCCTGATAGTGAGTATTCCCAAGATCCAGCTTCATCCAGCCAATCAGAGGCCACTTTTAGTTTTTAACTTATTTTATAAGCAGCTATTGAATCATTGACTGCCAGCAGTATTATGATAATACCATTCGCTTGCAGGACTTGTGGTAACATTTTTGTACTACCCACTTGCAGAGCTTACATTTCCAGCTGTGACAAGTAATGTTTTGGGGTGATTTCTGAATGCATTTACACAGGCACTTCTTTTTTAGATAGCGTTGACAACTCTGCTCCTGTAACAGAAAACCAATGTGAAAATCAGTTCTTCTTATATATAAAAAGATATTGGTTTTGTGCATATCCTGCTGGCTATACACGTGGCCTTATTAAAGGCATGCAGTGCCACCTATGCACAGAAGTATTTGATTCTGGTCCTGTTCTGTGGGGAGCATCCTGTACAGGTAGTTTTCGACTTATGACCAATCATTTTAATGGCAGTTTGAAGTTACAACAGCCTCAGAAAATGTGACTTACAATCTATCCTCAGTTATGACTATCACACTACAACACTGGTCATGTGATCGCAGTTTGGATTCTTAGCAACTCGTTCGCATTTACAACAGTTGCAGCAGGTTGCAGTCAGATGATCATGGTTTGTGTCAGCCCTCTCAGGTAAACCAGACAGGAAATATGATGAGATGAAGTGATTCTATTTTATTGTAAGGCTACATTAACAGAATCTTGCAAGTCTGAAGTCACAAAACCTCCCGCCTCCACTTTTAACTGCTTGATCCATTAGGTTGGGTCTTTCCTAAGTTTCTTTCCCTGACGGTTAACCAACTGCAGGCATCTATCCCTTGTCTGATTCTTTCCTAGGCATCATCTCCTCCTCTTTCCCCATGGTCATTCATATATTACATTACATCTAAGACCTTTCCAGTCAGCTTGGGACAAGCAAAGTCAATTGGGGAAGCCAAGTTCGCTTAACATCCACATGGTTTGCTTAACAGCCACAGTCATTCGCTTATTGACTGAAGTAAAACTGGTTGTAAAATCAGATCTAGTTGGGTAATGACCACATCACTTAGCCATTAAAATTGCAATCCCAATTACCACCAAAAAGCAAGGACTCCCCTGTACCTTCAGCAACTCACTGATCTCTGCTCTTGCCTGTATCTTTGCGACATTGGATTTCGAAAGCCCCTCCCAACCAAGGAAGCCATTTTTGCCATCTAGACCAGACATGTCAAACACAAGGCCCGGGGGCCGGATGCGGCCCATGAAGCAGTTTCATGTGACCCTCGAAGTCATCCTGGAAACGGTGAGGGAATGGCCCCCACTGCCTTGGCCCTGGCCCAGGCTGGCTGGGAGCCAATGTACAATTTTGTGGTGGCCATCTATGCTGAAATGCATTCAGTCTTAGCTCTACAAGGCCGTCTAGAAACAACGAGAAGCCAGCCCCTGCCATGTTGGCCCCGCCCCCTGGGTGCATGCTGGAGAGGTGTCACCCTTTGTGAGGAATGAAGAAATGGACCATGTCTTGGCGCTTGTCCAGTCCCACCCCCTTCTGCCAGAGACCCTCAGATCTGTCCCACTCCTGCCCAGGCCCCCATAGGCACCTTTGACGCGAATGATGTAGAGCTGGCCATGCCCACCCAGTAGGCCACACCCATTCCATCCACACCCACCCAGTAGGTCGCACCCACCCTGGCCACACATACCCCCCCCGAGGGCAACCACAATGCTGATGCGGCCCTCAGTGAAATAGAGTTTGACACCCCTGATCTAGACACTGTTAAACCTGAGAACCATCTTAAAATGCAATCAATACTTTTCCTAACTTAAACCTGATTCACAGTAACAAAAATATTAGACCTTCAGCCTCTGCAACATGTACCCTTGACTCTTTGCAAAAAAATAAAGAGGCTTTGTTAATTATATGGAGAGAAAAAATATTTTAATTCTTCTGGTTTGAAACTAACCAAGTTTCAAATTCCTAATTCTGTCCCCAAAAAACAAAATATGGAAATCTATATAGTGTATATTGTTTTTATTTTGTACAAAATAATTCTGTAAACACATTTACAATAATTTGTTGGCCGAATAGACTGGAAGCATGAAAAACAATGACCTTTATTTACCCTGTAAGGCCATTGTTTTTCATTATATCCTCAAGTATCTTATTTAGAACAGGGAGGTACAACTTGTCTCTTACACACCCCCAGATGTTGTTATACTGCCTTATTCATCATCCCTCACCATTAGCCATGCTGTCTAGGATTCATGGAAATTGAATTTAAGAGAAAGTTATCCCTGCCTTACAATCAGAGCAATGGAGGTTGCTGAGTTTAGGAAACAGGAATATTATGGCTTTGTTTTCTGATAGCCTATGTTTATTCTAAATGTTTGCTGTTTTCTACCTTCCCAGTCTCTTCTCAGTCTCCTCTTATAGGCCCTATTGACTTAAAGCTTTGTTCTTTATCTCATTGTCTGCCACACCCTCCCTACCTGTAAGTCATCCTACCAATCCCAGATACCACTCCAAGATTTGACCTACTTTGTGAATAATTTCCTAGATTTCCTTGACGAGGAGGAAGAAGGTGCTGATAGTCCTGAACCTACTGACCCTTTTCCTGATGTCAAGAGCCCCAGTGTGTTGGATGCCCATGTGTTCACTGGAAAGAAGAGAAAAGATAGGCCCTTAGCCACAAAAGATTATGGGAATAATATGGACTATAATAGTTTTCATCAGAAGCAAAATAAGTTTGACAAAGAAGGAGACTTCACAAGGCAACCTGTCTCCGTAGGCCCAAGCAGTGAACCTAGCTTGAGTCCTCAGACTTCATCTAAGGGCTTCCAGGCTTATGAGAATGCAGCACCCTTTGGAGAACATGTCATCATCAACGGCCGATCTCTCAACTGGGCACAAGATGTGGAGAAGGGAAGGAAGGAAGTTGATCAGGGACTACTGTCGTCTTCAAAAAAAGGCAGCTCTTTCAGCCTCCAACCTCACCTTTCTGTGCCCTTCTTTGTTGGAAAGGCCAAGCAGCAGAGTCCTAGGGAAGAGAAACAATCCAAGAAAGAGACAAAGAAACCTCCAGAGAAAGTATACGTGACCAGGCTACAGCCCAATAAGAAGAAGGCCCCATCACAGAAGGATGTCTTCCCTGGAGTCTTCCTCTATCCTAGATCTCCAAGGAAGGTGCGATGGAACTCCCGGATCCCTCAGGGTCGCTCTGCTCCCTCCAACAAACTTCATTCTCCCTCTGTCCATAGAACATCTTTGCTTGTTGGTAATGCCACTAGGGAAGCAGATTTTTCTAAAAGGAAAGGCCTACGAGCCAGCCGGAAATGGGAACAATTTTATGGTAGGCAACCTTTTAAAGGCAGTATTAAGCGGCAGGTGCATCCAAGTGCCTCAGTCTTGCTTGCAGAAGGGCTGTTCAGCAAAGAAAACTTTGAGGTCACCACTCCAGCAAGGACTATGTTAGATTTCAATTCTTCAGAGGTAGTGCTGTCTGAAGGGATGCAAGTGACATCTTTCCTCCAGATATCAGAAATGACAGAATCTCAGCAGAAGGGGCTTGAAGGCCCTGAGAAGACCCAGGAGGAGGAAGTGGAAGAGGAAGTGTCTGATTATAGCTACGAAAATTCTGAGCTACAGCAGAGCTGGCTAGAGGACTCCATCAATTGGCAAAGGACGTTTAGTGTCAGCCCTGTTGACTTTGAATTGCTCCGCTCAGATTGGAATGATCTGAGGTGCAACGTTTCAGGAAACTTGCAGCTGAGTGAGAGCGAGGTGGTGGATGTGGTGGCTCAGTATATGGAGAAACTCAATGAGAAGAATGGCGGGTAAGAATGGAAGAGAATTGTGTGAAGGGAGGCATTATCACCAGAATAGATAAGGGTGGAATGAGGTTCCCCTTCAGCCTTCCATTCAGCAATTAGGTGTACTACTCTAGGGGAAATTGTTACACTTGTGTGTTTGTAGGATGTGTGTGTTCTGCCCAGGATTTTGTCAGAATAAAGGAGATTTAAAAAATGCTAAATGAATGGATGTACAGCTGATACAAGATAGTTTCTTGGAGGAGAGTATTTGATGTGGGCCAAGCTTCCATATGACAGCTTTCTGTCCTTCCACCCCCAGCATCTACACTCTCTTGCGAATCATTAATGTTGAGAAGCGGCGAGACACGGCCCGAGGCAACCGCTATCTGATGGAGTTAGAGCTGATGGAGAGGGGTCAGAGAACGGTCCGGCTCTCAGAATACATCTATGTCCTGCTCCACCAGGGCAAGTCAGAGGACAGCACTGAAGTCAACCCTGAAGGGCCTGCAACAGTAGCCACTGAATCTCAACCACCACCTAGTGCCTGGAGTCTTCTGTATGGAAAACCCATCCTCTGCCGACCTTTGCGGCTCAGCTGGAGGCATGATGTTATGGTTCATTTTGTTGTCCCAGGTAGGTGATTTGCCCCCTGTATTCCAGGGTTGAAAGGCTGCTTTTCCCAGGCACGACATATGAGGCAGAGGGGAAAACAAAACCGGAGACCAACTGCAGTTGGGTTGGGGTTGAAAGAAGTTTGGAAAAGAAATTTCTCCTGGAATACACAAATATTCTTTTTTAATCCTCATTGTTGTTCCCGTGGGACCTTGTTGACATGAAATGAGAGAAATTATGGGAGGAAAGTCTGTCTATGCTCCATTTGGGAAGGAAATGAGAGAAGGGTGAGATCTGTTCCTCCCTAGCTAATCTCTGTGCACCGTGAAAGGAGAATAGCAATTAAGAATACTGTATCCCAGATCTTAAATTATGTGTTTTTGTTTGCATTGGTAAATCACATATTCTATAATGAGACTACAGAAGGAGCAAAGATGCACTGATCAATAGGTGATAAGGCAGTTATATTGGTGCTTAGCTATATTGGCATCTTTTCACTGTATAATTCTTTTGTTCTGCTATTAGAAGAATGTAATGCTCAAATACTGAATTTCTTTGGGCTAGAGACTTTTGAAGTCTTTTGAGGTCATGACTGAAACCTGTGCTGAGAATTGTCCATATGCCCTTGCTATTGTGAGTCCATAAGAATAATTAAAGCCTTTAATTCGGAGGTCTTCAAACGTGGCCCTTTTATGACTTGTGGACTTCAACTCCCAGAATTCCTCAGCCAGGCACGCTGCCTGAGAAATTCTGGGTGTTGAAGTCCACAAGTCATAAAAGGGGCAAGTTTGAAGACCCCTGCTTTAATTAGTGGAATGTTTCCATATAAACACTCTATTGAGCTTTTGTGTTAAAATGCCCCAAATCCCTGTTCGTATCTTGCAGTGAAGAACCAAGCACGCTGGATACAGCAGTTCATCTCAGATATGGCCAGCCTATTTCTGAACACCAAGGATGCCAACTTCAATATCATATTGGTGGATTTTGATAGTGATGACATGAATGTGGAGAAAGCCCTTCAGGAGGCTCACCTGCCCAGGTAACCCAAGCAGTGATGAAAGCTCCAGAACCATTTCCTCTGATGGTTCTCCCTAAGTCCTCACAGCTAAATCTTAAAACTCTCAAATCTCTTTTAATGACTGCAAATGTTGCCCACTATTTTTCTGTGCAACATATGGTAGGTTCAGTTAACCACTAGGGAAATCTGCTCAATTTCCTCTCTAAACTTGCCACATTATGTGCAAACAACCTGCTTTCTTCACTGTGTAGAAGAGTGAGGCTTCAGATGCAAAGGATACCAGCACAAAAGAACCAGTGCTTGTGTATACAAAAAAGAAATGCCAACAACAGCATGGCTATACAGAGATCAAAGTTGTGTGTGTGTGTCGTGTCTCTAACTAATGCCACCACTCTATTAAATCTGTTTGGATGAGTTCCAAGTTTTATTAACCATTGTAAATATCAAGATAATAAATTAACATGCATGTAACCTTCCTAGGGCTGTAGGTTTTAATCAGTTTTATTGATAGGTTAAAGCTAAGCCGTGAACATACGTACTAGGAAGTGAACCTCATTGAAAAAAAATAGATACATATGTCACCTCTTATTTATTCTTTAGCCAAAAGGATTCCCAAAGCAACTTCCATGGATCCTATTTATTGAAAAGGATAAATATCAATATCAATAAACAACCAGTAAACAATCAATAAACAACCAGTATCAATAAACAACCAGTCATAGTTATAGTGTGTCAGTGTATCAATAAATAACTAATACTTTGGCTAAGTGTTTTTGATCTAATTATTCCAAAAGCCAATGGACAGATATAACTGAAGGAAACCACATCACTTGAGAACCCAAAGAGCCAGCAGATATAAGCAATGAAAGAAGAAGCAGTTTGAAGTTACTACTATATTTTATGGAGCCTGTCCCCAGGATTAACATAGAGCAGGGGTTCTCAACCTTGGCAACTTTAAGACTTGTGGACTTCAACTTCCAGAATTCTGGAAGTCCACAAGTCTTAAAGTTGCCAAGGTTGAGAACCCCTGACATAGAGTAAGGAAAGAAGAAGAGACAGCTATGACTGTGATTTTATAGCCTAGCTTGAGCATGCTCAAAAGTCCTAGCTGACACAAAACAGTTAGCCACTCTCCAGTTTGATCTTCTAGGCATATCCATTTGAGAGTATGGCAACTTAAGGTCAATCACCTTTAGGGGCTTGAAAAAAAAGAAAAGAGCGGAGAAGTAGAGAGGGTGACAATTGCCCATACTTCATCCTTGCTCATTATCTGCAGTGAGAAGAAGGAGACTCCTTATCTTCCTATTGATGATTTAAACCAGTGGTTCTCAACCTGTGGGTCGGGACCCCATTTGGGGTCAAACGACCATTTCACGGGGGTCGCCAAACAACACAGTCCGCCATTTTTTCCACCCTTTTCCTTAGCTGTGCTACTCCCTTTTATTCTATTGGCTTTTGAAAGCCAATAGAATAGACTCTCTTGAATAGAGTCTAATTCTACTGGCTTTCAAAAGCCAGTAGGAATTGTCCAGGCTGGCTCTGCCCTGCTGAGCCCACCAAAAGTCCCATTCTGTAAACGGTGCTGCACCAGTTGAGTAGTCCTCGACTTACGACCAGTTGAGTAGTCCTCGACTTACGACCGGTTGGGGGTCGTGGCATTAAAAAGGTTGAGAACCACTGATTTAAACCAAAGGTGAAAAAAGAGAGGGAGGAGGAAAGTAATAATAAACAGTTGTAATGAAAAGCCAGAAGAGCTGAGGGAGTGGTCCTGTGATTGACTTAAAACTTTGCAACAAGAGCCTGTGGATATGAACACAGAAGTAATTCCACTGAATTAAATAGAATTTATGCCCTGTTAAGCATGCCTCCTGAATTAATCTATGAAAGTTCATCTGAATTCATAGGGCTGCAAGTTAAAGAACAGTTCCTAATTATTCATTTGTTTTTACGTCTCTTGGCTTCAATTATCATTCTGGAAAAAAGACAATGAACAAGAAAATGTTGATGATGAACTTTCCCTCTAAAAACAACCGAAGAGTTCACTGATTAAAAAAGTTACGGGTGAACTTTTGGTAATATATGAATTTATTTGGTTGAAAAGTTAAAGAGTTAAGAGTTAAAATGCTCGACTTTCTTGCCTATCATCTTCTTGACTGTCATGTACTCTTCTCCGCCTAGAACAGTAGTTCTCAACCTTTCTAATGTCGAGACCCCATAATACAGTTCCCCATGTTGTGGTGACCCCCAACCACTTATACATCACCGGGTGCCAGGGGCGTGGCCACAGAAAAGGGGGGGGAAATGGCGGACAGCCTTGTTTGGCGACCCCCGTGAAATGGTCATTCGACCCCAAATGGGGTCCCGACCCACAGGTTGAGAACCACTGGCCTAGAATAATCACTTTTTGATTTATAGTCTCTTCCCTGATACTGGGAAACCTCTGGTATTTAGAGCCATTTTGCTGAACAGACTGTGCTTTCTGCTGGCTTCCCCACCACTGTGCCTTTATCTCCTGCCATTCCTTTACAGGTACCAATATTTGAAACGCACAGGGAACTTTGAGCGCTCTGCAGGATTACAGGCTGGGGTGGATGCCATAGAGGTGAGACCCAAGGAGAAGTAGGAGGGCCTTCCTGGAGGTGTTGAATGTCTACTTTGTCCCCTACTCACGGCCTGCCTGTAATGCTCTTTCACCCTTCAGGATGGCAGCAGTATTGTATTCCTTTGTGACCTGCACATTCACTTTCCCCTCAATATTCTGGACAGCATCCGGAAACACTGTGTGGAGGGAAAGCTGGCCTATGCACCCATTGTCATGAGACTGGGCTGCGGGAGCTCTCCACGAGAACCCAACGGTAAGGGGCTGCTGTTGCTGGGAAATTATTGCCTGTGAATTGGTGTAGCATTTTCAGGCAGAGAATTAGGAATCTTGGCTAGCGCATTCCTTCAAGAGGCCTTCCCTAAGTGGTTTTGACATAAAAAGCACTAAATGATAACACTGCCAAGTGGGGCTGCTCGTTGAAAGCCGTCAGCATATGTGTGGCTGTTTTAGTGAAAAGGGATGAGAGGAAGTATGCTCTTTTTTTAAATATGTACCATACTGTTGCTATTAATTACTTATTATTGTATAAATGGGGCCATATGCTTAGTCTCTAAAGTCTTCAGGATCATCTGAGCTTTGTGCAGTAGACATTCCTTTCTGCCCAATATTCATCTCCTAAAATCTGTTTCACAATTGTAACTATTGTTGGAAATACGGAGTAGATGGCTTCTTCTCCAGAGGCACTGTCTTTACAGAGAAGACAACATGGGAAAGATTTAGACCAGAGGCAAAAATCCTGTGCCAGATGTTGCTAAATTCCTATTCCCAACACCCCTCCCTTTTGATCACTCAGACTAGGACTGCTGGGACTTGTAGTTCAGCAAACTTAGAAGGTTACAAATTCCCTGTCTCTGATATAGTTTGAGTACAACTATCGTTAAGCCTATTTCTTCCCCCATATCTTCATCATCATCATCATCATCATCATGTTGGAAGGGATCTTGGAGGAAGTTTTTCCTTAATTCTAGGTTGCTTCTCTCTTTGGTTCGTTTGCTTCTTGTCCTGCCTTCAGGTGCTTTGGAGAATAGCTTCACTCCCTCTTCTTTGTGGCAGCCCCTGAGATATTGGAACACTGCTATCATGTCCCCCCTCATCTTTCTCTTCATTAAACTAGACCAGGGGTAGGCAACCCAAAACACTCAAAGAGCCACTTGGACCTGTTTCCCACCAAAAACAAAACACTGGGAGCCGCAAAACCCTTTTGATATCTAAAATGAAGATAACACTGCATATATCCTTTTTTACCTTTATTATAGGTGTGTGTGTGTGTGTGTGTGTGTGTGTGTGTGTGTGTGTGTGTATGTATATATACATACACACACACACACACACACACACACATTAAAAATAAAAGTAAAAATATGACTCTTGGGAATATCCATACTATTAAAACAATGATCACCAAGAGAATGCTTTAAGAGAATAAAATTACATACACACACAGGTAAAAAAAGGATATATGCAGTGTTATCTTCATTTTAGATGTCAAAAGGGTCTCTCTCTCCCTCCCTCTCTGCCCTTGGTCTGCCACTCCTCTTCCCCCACTCTCTCTCTCTCTCCCTCTCTCTTTCTCTCTCTCTCTTTCTCCCCCCCCCTCCTATCTGCTGCTCACTTGGCAAGCTTCAAGCTGTTGTCCAACAACCTCCGGGGTAGGCAACCTCGTCTCTTTTATGACTCATGGACTTCAACTCCCAGAATTCCTGAGTCAGCCTAGCTTGGCTAGCTAGCTCTCTCCTGCCCTTCCTGCTTCCTGCTTCCTTCAGAGACGCAGCAAAGGGAGGAGCTCTACCCAGAAAGCTTTTCAGCTCCTTGGAGAACACTGTGAGTGCACTCTCTTTTACACATACACACACACACACACACACACAACACATACACACAAAACACAGAGAGAGAGAGAGAGAGAGAGAGAGAGAGAGAAGCAGGGAAGTGCAATTGCCTCCCTCTGTCTCTGTCTCTCTCTGCAAAGGCAGAGGAGGCTGGGAGCCACAGGGGAAGGCTCAAAAAGCCGCATGCGGCTCCAGAGCCGCAGGTTGCCGACCTGTGAACTAGACATACCCAATTCCAGCAACCGTTCCTTATATGTTTTAGCCTCCAGTCCCCTAATCATCTTTGTTGCTCTTCTCTGTACTCTTTCTAGAGTCTCAACATCTTTTTTACATCGTGGTGACCAAAACTGGATACTGTATTCCAGTTTTGGCCTTACCAAGGCATTGTAAAGTGGTATTAACACTTTACGTGATCTTGATTCTATTCCTCTGTTAATGCAGCCCAGCACTGTGTTGGTTTTTTTGGCAGCTGCAGCACACTGCTGGCTCATATTTAAGTGATTATCCACTAGGACTCCCAGATTCCTCTCACAGTTACTACTATTGAGCAAGGTACCCCCTATACTATACCTGCACGTTTGGTTTTTCTTGCCTAAATGTAGAACCTTACTTCCTATATTATTTTCCATAATGGATCAGAAGTAGAATTTCCCTGATTAGACAAGCAGCCAGGGGAAAGAAGTCTTGTATGACATTTTAACATAGATAATTCATCTCTAGCCAGCAAAAGTAAAATAGATAAAATAGGTCTTGGTGACAAATATACCATCCTATCTCCTAATATTTTCCGTACGGAAACTATCAACAGAGGGATGGGTGGGGGAAACATAGAATGGGAAAGTTTTATTTTTGCTTTGCAAAGAATGGCTTGCAAGCCTCCTTCAGGGTCATTCTAATAGGAAATAATAGAGACATACTGTACTTTGGGTATATAAATAACATGAATACATTATACTTAATAACATTTTTTCCTTAGAGAAGGTCAACATTGTATTTTAAATAAAATTAGATTTTGCTATTTTTATAGCAATTGATCAGTTCACTAAAATATTTACATATGCTTTTCCAATTGCTCAGAGCTGTTTACTACTTAATCGTAAAAACTAATCACAAATACACAAAACAAACATTCACCAGCAGAATGAAATAAACGTCCATCCCAAAAAGAGAATAAATAAAGGTAGGCTGCAATTACTTGTTTTGCATACTTTAGCTCTGCTTTTTCTGGGTTTGGAAAAAGAGGCAAGGGCATCTATGAAACCATTTTTGAGTCCAGCCCCTACTGAGTGCAGGAATCCAAATGAGAGCATCACAGAGAGATGTCTATCCAGCCACTGCTTGAATGCAGTTAAATATTTTCCATCGTGGAAGGAAGATCACCACCTCTTTGGATAACTGACTTCTGTGCTTATTGATAGGAAGGCTTCTTTCTAGCATTCAATCAGAATCTGCCTTGTGGTGACTTAAATGCATTATTTAATGCCCTGCACTCTGGATTGAGTGAGCCAGTCACTCTCTCTAAGTCAGTGGTTCTAAACCTGTGGGTCAGGACCCCATTTGGGGTCGAACGACCATTTCACAGGGGTCGCCAAACAACGCAGTCCGCCATTTTTTTCCCCCTTTTCCTTAGCTGTGCTACTCCCTTTTATTCTATTGGCTTTTGAAAGCCAATAGAATAGACTCTCTTGAATAGAGTCTAATTCTATTGGCTTTCAAAAGCCAATAGGAATTGTCCAGGCTGTCTCTGCCCTGCTGAGCCCGCCAAAAGTCCCATTCTGCAAACGGTGCTGCACCAGTTGAGTAGTCCTCGACTTACGACCGGTTGAGTAGTCCTCGACTTACGACTGGTTGGGGGTCGCGGCATTAAAAAGGTTGAGAACCACTGCTCCAAGTCCTAGGAAGATGACAACAGCCAACTATTTCTGAACAATTGTTCCAAGGAAACTTCATGGACTTGTCCAGGTAGCTGCCAAGAGTCAAGAGTAACATGAAAGTGCAAAAGAAAAAAAAATGTAGGAGCTGCATCAGTTGCTAGTAGACTTTTGGATACAATTTCAAGGCTTTGGTTTTGTTAAAATCTTTTGTGACTTAGATCCTCAATAACCTTGGGACCATCTGACTGAGGTAGAGTTTACCTTTCCACTTTCTACAAGGTAGGAGGACAGGTTGAGAATCTCTCCCTCACAAGGAAAAAACTGGCCTCCCTGATGGCAGCCCCTCACTTTTGAACAGTTAACTCCTCCCTTGTTATCTTTGGAAAGCAATCAAGACAATGTTTTTCCAATAGATTTTGGATAAAATGATGCAGTTGAGTTGAACCTAGCTGACCAAGAAAGGAAGTATTTTATAGTCTGACTTTATGATGGGTTTTGTTGTTTGCTAAGTGTTTGTTTGGTGGATGTCTATAGTTTTTATCTCATTGGGAGCCAACTAGAGTATTAGGAATGGGAGACACATGAAGTATTCCATAAACAAACAAAACATCCCGGAAGAATGCAGTAGGAAAGCCACTTTATACTGTATGAGGAAGACTGCATGATTGTGTCCAACTTGAGGGTGTTTTATCGTCTTTCTGTTCCCATAACTGTTCCTCATAGGTCCTCATGTTATAACAGGCAATTATATATATATATATGGTGTATAGACCCATTAGAAAATTATTTTGAGTAAGGAAGTACATGCATCTTCTTCCAGAACTTTGTTTATTAATAAGAGAGTGATAACATTCATTATGGAGCCCAATTCTGTAGGTTTACTAGTTGGAACCAATTTGATCTGAGCAAAGGTACCATTTCAAGGGACATGCTGGGCACTTGTAAAGCTGGCATAACCTTTCCCTACTCTAAATTGGTTTACATAAAGGTTACCTTCTCATTTCTTTTGTATTTACATGAGATAATCTTGTTTGCTACCACTCAGGGACATATTTCTATGATCTAAACAGGATGCTTTCCATATCAAATCTGAAGAAAAAAAAATCTTGCCTTGTCTTTTTCTCAGGCTACTGGGAAGTAAATGGCTTTGGCCTCTTTGGGATCTATAAGTCTGACTTTGATCGTATTGGAGGGATGAACACAGAAGAGTTTCGGGATCGCTGGGGCGGAGAAGACTGGGAGCTGTTGGACAGGTGAGGCTACTCTCCATATCTCTTCCAGCCCATGTTAGAATTCTTCTGCTGACTGAAAAAAGGAGACTATTTTGCCTGAATAAATAGCGAGGATTATTAGACAGGGAGGTCTCTGTTGATGACTGTGTACATCATTGCTTTTACCTGCAGGATCATTAAATTATTTGCAGGTAATGCTTTCCACTTCTACCATCCTAAGGTCACAGTGAGCTACAATTTTGAACAGGCGAGGGCAAATTGAAATACATCCCTTCCCTCCCCATCACTACTCATCCTCTCTCCCAGCAAGCCGATGCTGTCTGCTTTTATTATCTGTGGGCTGGAAGTTGTGAAACTGACTTTAAAAAGACCTGGGCTTGCAAGCAAAATCTAAAATGTGTTTGAAGCCTGTGCAAAAATGCCTTTAGGCTAATAGTCTATTTGAAGATTTCCTTTTCAAGTGACATAGACACCAGTTTCCCCTCTCACAGAGAATTAGACTGCAACACCCTCCCTTGATTATTTTTAACCCTTGCTTAATAAAGGGAAATCCAGTGTTCCCAGTTTTTTCCAAGACTAGTTTTTAACTTATTTTTTTACTTCCAGATGGTCCTCAACCTACAGACATAATTGGGATGCAGCTTTGGTCACATCATTGTGGTCATAAGAAATTGGACTCAATTTTATGATAGTTTTTATGACTGTCATTAAATGAATCACTATGATCATGAAGTGAATCCAGCTTCCCCGATGGGCATTTTTTTGCTGGAAACTGACAAAATTGTGACTGCAGGAAGCTCCAACCAATCATAAATGAGACCTGGTTGCTAAGACCCCAGTCTGTGATCATATGACTGCGAGTATAAGGTCATAAGTGCGAGTATAAGATCACAAGCCATTTTGCCAAGGCCATTGTAACTTTGAACCATCATTAAATGAACAGTCATAGGTTGAGGGCTACCTTTGTTTTCTCTTGGGCTTGGGATAGTGTACATTTTCCTTTCATTGCTTCAGCCAAAGAACCAAGTATTTATCTTTTTTTATCATTTTATTAATTTGCTACTAGTCAGCAGCACAATCCTGGACAATACAGATAAGTCCTTGACTTTACAACCAGTTGCTTACCAACTGTCTGAAGTTACAACAGACCTTGAGGCTTGTTAACAACCCGCATTCAAAGTTCTGATTATCAGGGGACCTGTCATGTGACCTAATTCCAGGAGCTCAGCAATGTGGTCACATTTACAGTCATTTGCAGCATCTTGCAGTCATAAGATCACAATTTTGCCATTCATTCATTCATTCATTCATTCATTCATATACTGTATAGACTGAAAAAGAAGAGAATCCTTTCAGGACTTACACATATAACTTCATCCCCTATTGCTAGCTCAACTTAGAAGCAGGATGGGGAAGAGAAAGGTATTATTGTGTCATAATAACTAGCTTGAATTTTGGCACATTCTGGGATCCTTCTCCAAGATCTATTACTCCAATAAGGACCAGCACATTTTTTTTCAGAAAATTAGCACAGGGTTTTATTTTTATCCAGTCTTTCAATCAAGTACAAAAGATACCATACATAGCACAATTTCTCTTGGTTTCCTCCTCAGCTATACAAGCTCTAGAGCAGGGGTTCCCAATCTTGGCAACTTTAAGACTGCAACTCCCAGAATCCCCCAGCATGGCTTATTTTTGCTGTCTGTGCCCAAAGCAATTCATACATATACTACTGTATTTCTCCAGCCACATTCATTCTTTCCCACACTAAGGTTACTGTTTCCTTTAGTGTATTCTCAATAAATCAAAGGCAATCTCCCATTCTGAAAATAAATTATTGGGCCAGAGGGTGGGGGAACCTAATCCCTTTGAAGTAAAGGCAGTACATATTCACAATATAAACAATGTGTAAGTCAGATGCTCAACTAACCACAGACTACTGCATGTCCCTAGGTAGATCAAACAGTCTTGTTTTGCCCGCTGGAAATGGTTTGAATTGCGACTTTGTCAAATCTTTTTTTCCATTTTTATTATTTTATTTTCATTACAAGCATAAGAAAAAAAATTCAGATACATAAGAATTTGTGTTCTATTTTAGAAGAAGGGTAAAATTTACTCCACAACTGTTTTTGTTAGGTATTGTTTCTGATTGTGATACTAAAGAGACTATATTGATGTTAAATTTAATCACAGCGGCAAGGTTGTTAGTAGGGCAATGTTGGAAGAAGGAATCTTTGCCTACCTTGCAAGAGTGGTTTCTTAAAGCTTCTTGTTTGGCGGAAATGGCAAAGATTTCGGCTTTCTTGAAAGACCAATCGCAAGAGAAGTATTTTTTGGTATGGAAAAAATGGATAGACTTTATACAATATAAGTTGGATATAAAAAATATTATTTAGCTTTTCAATAACTTATACTTAAAATTTAAGATATTTTATAGACTTTTTTCCTTTTTCTTTCTTCCTATTTTCTTGTATTTCCTTGTATTTTTGTTTTTTTTATACATATATTATTGTTAACTAGTTTACAATTTCTTTAATTAATGTATTTAGATTTGTTTATGGTTTATATTTGTTTTAAGACTTTTTGAAAAAATATTAATTAAGCCTGTATTCAGCTCTGGGAAGGTCGGGGGAGGGCATGGGAGGGTTGGGGGGGTTTGGGGAAGGGAACAGTATTGTTTTGTAAAATTTAAAAATTTTCAATAAAAAAAAAAGAATTTGTGTTCTATTTTAACTTCTTATGTATCTGAATTTTTTTTCTTGTGATTGCGACTTTGTCAAATCTTGAGAAAAGGAGTTCCAGAATCCCAGAATAACCAATGAGAGCACCGCCCAAAATGTTATGCAGGGCAACAGGTTTGCTCACATTGACTATGCATGTTTGGTTGGAAATTAATCCCATAGAATTTAATAACACTTTCTTCTGAGTAAGACTGCAGAAGATTATAGCCATAGCTGTTTGATTTATGTTTATTTCTAAATATAATCCTGTCCTTGGTGAGGTCTCCTTAAAGTATGAAGTACGGTAGTCTTGATGAATTGCCTGTTGAAAGAGACAGTGTACAATAAAAATGGGAAAAACAGTAGGTATAACATTTTAACTTCTATGCAGCTAGATGTATCAACACATCAACACATTTGTAATTCATTTAATAACATTTAAATGTGGGGCATTACCATTAAAAATAGGGGGGCAGTATGTATCACACAAGTGACTAAACCTATTACAAGCTGGCAACTGTATGACACCCCTATAGGGAGAATGCTATAATTTTTTTTATTAAATTTTTGAAATTTTACAAAAACAAAACAACCCATCCCCAAACCTCCCCAACCCTCCCATTCCCTCCCCCGACCTTCCCAGAGCTGAACATAGGCTTAATTACAATTTCTTCAAAAAGTCTTAAAAAAAGAAAAAAATATAAACCATGAATAAATCTAAATACTAAATACATTAATTAAACAAATTATAAGATAATTAGCAGTAATATATATATAAAAAAACACAAATACCAAAAGAATAATACTTAAAAGAAAAAAAAGAATAAAGAAAAAGAAAAAAAGAAAAAGATAAAAGAAAGTATAAGAGTAAAAAATAAAATTAAAAAAAAGAAAATAAAATCTATAAGATATTTTAAATTTTAAATATGTTATTGAAAAACTAGATAATATTTTTTAATATCCAACTTATATTGTATAAAATCTATCCATTTTTTCCATACTGCAAAATACTTCTCCTGCGATTGATCCTTCAAAAAAGCCGAAATCTTTGCCATTTCCGCCAAATAACCACTCTTGCAAAGTAGGCAAAGATTCCTTCTTCCAACATTGCCCTACTAGCAGCCTTGCGGCTGTAATTAAATTTAACATCAATGTGGTCTCTTTAGTATCACAATCAGTTATAATACCTAACAAAAACAATTGTGGAGTAAATTTTACCCTCCTTCTAAAAATTCTTTGGATATTCCACCATATCTTAATCCAAAAGGCTTTTATATTTTTACACGACCACCAAATATGATAGTAAGTAGCATCCAAACAACCACATCTCCAACATTTAGGCTGTAAGTCAGGATACATACGAGACATTTTTTGTGGATCAAGGTGCCATCTGTAAAACATTTTATAAAAATTCTCCCTTAAGTTCTGGGCTTGTGTAAATTCGACATTCTTCACCCAAATAATTTCCCAGGTATCTAGTAGAACCGGTTCACCAAAATTTTGTGCCCATTTAATCATACATTCTTTAATTAATTCTGCCTCTGAATCTAGTTCCACTAGCACCCCATAAATTCTCTTAATATGAGTTCGTCTTTGGTCTTTTACTTGTTTAAGAACATTTTCATCATCTCTAAGTAAACCCACATTACGGTCTAACTTCCATCTATCCACTATTTGTCTATACTGAAACCATGAGTATATAATATTTTCTTGTGCTAGATCTTCCAAAGATTTTAACTGCCAATTTTTACCATCCCATCTAAGTAATTGTGCATAAGAAACACCATCCATCTTGAATCTTCTCCTTATTCCCTCTATCGCATGCCAGGGTATAGCCCATAATGGGATTTTAAAATCACTTCTATAATATTTCCTCCAAACCCGAAATAAAGAAATCCTTATAATATGAGATTTAAAAACCCTGTCAACTTTTTTATTAAAAATTAAATAGGCATGCCATCCAAAAAGTAAATCCCAACCCTCCAAGAGGAGTATTTCTACATTTGTTAAATTAACCCAATCACTAATTAATGTTAAGACCACCGCATCATAGTACAATTTCAAATTCGGTACCTTGAGTCCGCCTCTCTCACGAGTGTCTTGTATTATTTTAAGCTTTACTCTTGGTTTTTTCCCCACCCAAACAAATTTATTGATACCTTTCTGCCATTCATTTAAATTAATCTCATTCTTTAAAATAGGTATCATTTGGAATAAAAAAAGGAACTTTGGCAGAACATTCATTTTGATCACCGCAATTCTTCCCAAAAGAGATAATTTCATTTAGATAATTATCTATATCTAAAACCTGTATTTTAGTACTCTTATATAATTTTTGATAATAATCTAAAAAAGATTTCTTAATCAAATCCTTATGGTATACCAATTTACCATTATAGTTTATTTTATCTATAATTCTCTGTCTCTGTTTCTTTCTTAATTGATAAGCCAACCATCTCCCTGGTTTATTAGCATTACAAAATATATTTTGTTTCATATACATTAAGTTAGTTGCAGTTTGATCAGCCATCAACATATTAAATTGTGTTTTAAGCAATTTTATAGATTCTTTAGCCTTTTCATCTGTAGGATTTGAGATCAAAATTTTTTCTTTTAATTTAATCTCATCTTCCAATTCCTTACGTTTCTGAATCTGCTTTTGTCTATGAGCATAATTCATTTGTATCAAAATCCCACGCATGAAAGCTTTACCTGCATCCCATACCATTGACATTGAAGTTCCCTTATGCATATTTAAAACAAAATAGTCCCTTAAATACTCCTTTAATTTTTGAACATTCTTTTCTTGTCTAAATAAATTTTCATTCATCCTCCATGATCTCCTCTCCTTCATCAACCAACTCCATCCAAACTGGACTATGATCCGTCAATATCCTAGGAAAAATTTTAACATTCTTCACCCTAAAATATAAATCAGTTGTAATCAAGAAAAAGTCAATTCTTGAGAAAGATTGATGTTTATCTGAGAAGTAAAGTCCCTCTCCTCCTGATTGCGTTCACGCCAGTAGTCTCGTAGCTCCCAGTCCTCTTTCAAATCAAAAAAAGCTTTAGGTAATTTAGCCTGTTTAAAAGAAATAGAAGATCCTTTTTTGTCTCTTTGTGTATCTAACACACCATTCCAGTCACCCATTAATATCACAGATCTATAATCCAACAAAGTTAATTTCTGATGTAATAATCTATAAAATTGTTCCTGTTGTTGGTTTGGTGCGTACAATCCGACTATAAGTATTTTCTTACCATATAAGCCAACTTCGATCATAACATATCTCCCTTGAGAATCAGATTCTACCAAACAGGCTGATAAGCTTTGCTTAACATAAATAACTACGCCCCCTTTTTTCCCAGGAGCAGAAGATACAAAATGAGATCCCAAACGAGCATTAACTAAATATTTTTGATCTTTAGCTATAATATGTGTTTCCTGCAAACAAATAATATCATTATTATGTTGCTTTAAATAGTGAAAGATTTTCTTTCTCTTCTGAGGGGAATTAAGGCCATTAGCATTCCAAGTCAGGAGCTTTACCATCTCCCTTGACCAGAAGCCTGGAGAAGAGTGCTTGAAGATCTGCCATTGAGGAATGTGCTGCAGAACTCTTGGGTCTTGCTCCTCCCACCAGCAACGAAACACTTTCTTGAAGAGATTCTTTAACTTCTTTCCTCTGTTGTTCCTTTTCCTTGTGTCTATGCGCTGCACAGGTCATTCTTTGCTCTTTAATCTCTGCTTGTCGCGACCACTCCGACTGTAACTCTCCAACCACCATCACACCTAGTCCTTCAGACTGCTGTTCCACCTCTTTACCATCCAGAACTCTATGCATCATAGATGATGGTGAGCCTGCTCCCCTGCTCTAGCAGGTTCTTCACTTCCCCTCTAATTTCAGTTTTATTCTGATCTAAAAGCTCCTTCATTTCCCCTCTGATTTGAGTTACTGCATTTCCCATTATATCTTTCATATCTTGTACAGATATTACTGGCAGAGGAGGAGAAGATGTGGTGTAGCTTTAGGTTGTTGTACCGGTAGAATCGCAGGAGAAGAAGCCACCTTAGGAACTGTAGAAGCTGCTTGCCTTTTTGAAGCCATTTAAAAAAAAAAAAATTTCTTATTTCCTCTTTCTTCCTTCTTAAAAAAAAACAATAAAAAAGAAATCCTCAAAGAATGAAAAAACAAAGGAGAGTTTAAAAGATATTTCAAAAACACAAAACCACCTTCAGAAAAAAAAAGAAGTTTAAAAAGTTTTTTTAAAAAAAGCTATATAGTCCATAACGTTCCGTTTGACTCACTTTTTTTTCCCCGGAAAAACTTTCAAATCGCCATTTTACTTTCACTCTCCACACAAACAAAAAAACAAAAAAAAAAAGATCAGCCTAAACTAAAAAGCAAATAAAACTCAATAAGTCCAATCCTTTATCCAGCTCTGTCTGCTTTTTTAAGAAAAAAAATCACTCACCCAATCCCTTTAAGCGCGGAGATGGTAGCGGCGTTTCACTTTGTTCCCAAAGGGAAACAAAGACAGCTGGGAGGCGGAGGCAACCCGAACTCCGAGGGAGCTCTCTTTCCACCCCTCCAAAAAAAAACCCTGGGGGGGTTGAGATGCTCTACCTCTATTCGGGTGGTTCTCTCCCCCCTCCCTTCGCCCGGGAGGGGGATTTCGAGCCGCGGGACAGCTGGTGACTGCTGTGCTCCGCGGTTCTCACGCTGTCCCAGGAGTACGGCTACAATGTAGCCGCCATCATCGACGCTAACCACCGGAAGGACGAGAATGCTATAATTGAAAAGCCCTGGTTCTGAATCACATACTGTGGGAAATAACTATATGTAAGGCCAGGATCTTGCTGGGCAAATTTAATATATGGTCCCACTGATATTGGAAGAGGCACTATTTCAAATATTTAGATTCTAAACCAATTAGGGCTTAATAGACAAATGTCATCACGCCAAGCCCCAAGGCAAGATAGGAAGCAAGTAAATGTAGCCAAGTTTAACCAATAAGGCTCAGTCAGACACAGACGGTAATAGTTTAAGGCCTGAGGTCCCACAGTCCAATTTACACTCCCCTAGGGCTACTATATTTGGACTGACAAATGTCTGGATGATCACTAGATGGCAACTACAGAGAGTCCTCGACTTACAACAGTTCATTTAGTGGCTGTTCAAAGTTACAATATCACTGAAAAAAGTGACTTATGATCATTTTCACTGAAAAAAGTGACTTATGACTGTGGCAGCATCCCCATGGTCATGTGATCAAAATTCGGACACTTGGCAGCTGATTCATATTTATGATGGTTGCGGTGTCCCAGGGTCATGTGATCATCTGTTGCAATCTACTGACAAGCAAAAAGTCAAGGGGGAGAAGCCAGATTTATTTAACAACCATGTTAGCAATTTAACAACTGCAGTGATTCACTTAATAACTGTGGCAAGAAATGTCGTAAAAATGGGGCAAAATTCAGTTAAAAATTGTCTCGCTTAGCAATAGAAATTTTGAGCTCTATTGTGGTCATAAGTCAAGGACTACCTGTAGGTAGTCATGTAGATTTTTTTTTTCAGCCCAGGTATTTTAGCACTGGCTGTTTCTGCGCCAGATGCAGCTTTTGAACCAGCTCCATGTCGTATCAACTAATCCAAATATATGAAGTTACTCCTGTTATGCATGAAAGAGTTCTGTAGCAGAAGAAAAGCTAACTCGTGCTCTTTCTGTCTCCTCTTTCTCTTTTCCCTTCCACTGCCTGATTTATTCCCATTGTTTCTAGGGTGCTTCAAAGTGGGTTAGAGGTAGAACGTTTGCGACTCAGGAACTTTTACCATTATTACCATTCCAAACGTGGCATGTGGAATTCACACAGCAAGAAGACACCCAAAGACTAAGCACCAGCTCTGCCATCAGCTGGACCCCCTACTCCTGGTCTTCTTTAAGCAGGAACAAGGAAGCAGCAGCCACAGCATGACCCAGCACCATTTTTCTACTGCTACAGGTAGCCTTCTGGATGCAGCATCTGTCAGAGGCCAGACCAAGAGCACTTGGAGTGGAGGTTTTCTACAAAACTACTATTTAAAGCAAACCATGTTTATTTTGGGATTTTTTGTGACTTTTCTTAAAGGATCTAATTTCTTAGTGAGCAATTACATTTATTAACTCGGTAGTGCTGAAAGGCAAAGAGTACTGCTAATAGGAGAGTGAGGTGAGCTCGCCAGTATTATTGCCAACCAGGAATGAGCTGGTGCAGCTTCTCAAAGCTCGTGTAACTGCCAGGAAAAGTTTATGACTGTATTTGCCCTACTTTAACTCCTAAAGTGAGCTGGGAAGGGGAGAGTCTTCAATGTGTCACAAATGGTTCCTCCTTGGTGTGTTTACGCCACTGCCAGGGGGAGAAGTTGAAGAGAATTGAAAATATTTCAAAGGGGCATGAAAAGACTTGTATCGGGCAAGAGGTGTTCCAGTCTCTTCAATACAGTTTTGGGATTTTTTTCCCCCCTACTAGCTCTGCTGCTTTTGCTGCTCCAGCCCCACAGTTATATTGTGCCTCTGGTAGGAATTACTTCAAAACTCCGCTTATAAATAGAATTATAAATAACCATCTCCAATCCCAGGGAGAAGGTAGAGCAAAAGCATTCCCCTGAAAAAAATAGCTTTATAAGGGGGAGGGGATAGCCAGGAAAAAGCTCATTAGAACTTTCAAGCTCCAGCATTTTGGGGTGTGATTACCTCATCAAAGGGTTGGGAAGTATTTTAGGCTTTCTGTTCTACATATTTGTGTCCTCTGAAATTGAATCTGCACTTTTTGTCCACTGGGAGACACACAGTCTCCCAACAAGAGGATATTTTCCAGGTAGAAAGACAGAGAGGATATAGAATTGGCAAAGGAACAGAAAACAGAAAGTGCAGCTGACTCTCTCTCCTTCCACAACATAGTTGCTTCTGAACATCCCCCCTCACTTTTCTTCATCTCTTGCTTGGTACGAACCAAGACTGGCTGCCTACAAACGTGAGAGACAAAACACATTTGATATAATTGTCAGCAAAGAAGCAAACATTACATAGAAATAGAAATTCTGGGAACAAAGGAATTCTGGATTGTCTGGATTGTGAGGGGTTTAGAGTAGGAGTCATCACCCATACTTCGTACTCTGTGCCATGTTAACGGAGAACGCAACATAATAATAATAATAAAACCTCACAGCCTTTTATCTGGGAGGGACAGACCCTAAGAATGTAGACTAGTGGCTGAAGGGATTGACTTGGTAGGAAGGGGCTGACCATATTTTCCCCCGGCCCAATTACTGTTTTTGGAGCAACCTTCTCTCTTTATGTACCATGGATCGAATATAGAGAGTGAATGAGGTTGCTATGGTGAAAGTATCAAAACAGGAGTGGAGAGAAGGGCAAAGCAATATTTCCAAGCTAATTTCTGTGAAATTATGAGGTAGAAAGCTGTTTTCAGAAAGTTATGTCTGATTTTTTTTAATGGATATTGTTATTAAAAAAAAATAAAGTAAATGTCCTGGTTCTGATTTTCTCGAGTTTCTGTTTTGTAAATTCATTTGAAGTCATGGTACTAGCAGGGTGGGAAATTTTTCTTCCTGCAGAGGCCCAAACAAGGCCTGCAGTGTTGATAGGAAATGCTTGGCAGGCACAGCTGTTGCTTCATCCAGATCACCAAAAGCCTTTTTCCCCTCCCCTCTCTGCCAGGTGCTGTGGCACCCAACCAGCTGCAGTCCTGTTTTCACAGAGTAAGGAATTAGTCTCATTAGCTCTTTCATAACATACTTAGCTGGCTCAGGTGAGCCTATCATGCCTACAGCTAAACTCAGTCACTCCTGGGATTAATTTTTGCCCCCTAGGGGTGCAACAGTTGGGGCTACAATCCATCCTCCAGGTCAGCCTATCATGCAAAGGTCTATGGTGATTCTCAGTCATCCAGGTCATGGTTGTCCCAAAGGTGCTTTTTCAAAAGGCAACTGGACTTTCTTTGTTTTTCCTCGAAGATATTTCGCTTCTCATCCAGTCAGAACTGAACTCTAAAGAAGCTTCTTGGCTGAGAAGCAAAAAGTCTTGAAGGAAAAACAACAAAAGTCCAGTTGCCTTTTGAAAAAGCATCTTCGGGACTATCATGCGAACAAACTCAAGAGGTCTGATCTAAGCCTTCTTTCTCCTGCCAGAACTGAGACAAAACCCTGGAATGACCCCATTCCAAATATATCTCCATTTTATTCTTATTCTCTAGGCAGGTTGAGTGAAGCAGTAGCAGAAATAAACGCACAAAAGGAAAAGAGGGGCTGACTGCTCTTCACACGACTGGAATATCTGGAATGATGTGTTGTCAACGGCAGGGGAAAAGTTTCCTTGAGGGAGCAACTGACTCAGAAATGTTTTGCATATAAAGCAAAATATGCCTTACACCCAAGAAAATTTGCATGAAATATATTTTCACCCGAAGCTATAAACAGAGAATGGAGTATCACACACAAAAGTGTGATAAAATACCATTTGGTATATATTAGGTAGAATATTCGGATTAAAACCCAGTTGATGAAATCTCAATCAGGAGAAGGTAGATTTACTGAATAACCTGAATAATTGAATAATCTTGACAGCAGAAAACAAGCCAACTATTTCCATCCTTCCCCAGCTATTCTCAGCCAGGGTGGGGCTATGGGTTTTTTTGTTTTTTGTTTTAAATACAAGTACGCCTCGACTTATAGCAGTTCGATTTTGTGACTGTTCGAAGTTACAATGGCACTGAAAAAAGTGAGTTATGACCATTTTTCACGCTTACAACCATTGCATCATCCCGTGGTCATGTGATTTACATTCAGATGCTTGAAACCTGGTTCATATTTATGACTGTGGAAGTGTGATCTCTTTTTGCAACCTTCTGACAAGCAATGTCAATGGAGAAGCCAGATTCACTTATCAATCGGGTTAATGACTTAACTGCAGTGGTTCACTTAACAACTGTGGCCAGAAAAGTGAAATGGGGCAAAATTCACTTAACAAATTTCTCACTTAGCCACATAAATTTTGGGCTCAGTTGCGGTCCTAAATTGAGGACTACCTGTGTTTGGGTGAATGGGACTTTGCTTGGCCCCACCCACAGGCCTGTAGGTGGATTTGCATTATTTGCAAGAACTTTGAAATAAAGAACTGGACTGCCTCACATTTACTAATCAGTGTGAAGGCTCTTGGAGAATATTTGGCATGGTTTTTAAATTTTAAGGTGAGGTTAATTCATGGCCCTGTGCAAATGTTCAGGTTTACTACAAACCTTCGAGCATGTGTAAAAGCATGTATTTGGATCCATAGTGGCAAGAATGCTTCAGATCCGATGCGGGCATTCGTTTTAGACCTACTGGCTTCCCCTTAAAAAAGCTGTATCTTTTCTTGGTCTTGTGTACACGACCCGTGCTGGCTAAGGCATAATGCTTATCTGAGTTAAGAAGCCAGTTGCTGCATCTTTAAATCTCTTTAATTTTAAAGTCCACACAGCTACTTTGAGAATCCTGGAATATTCACTGCTGCTTTAAGGAATATTCAACAGGTACAGAGAGGGTACCCGCACTGGATTTGAAGCACCTCTGTCTGCTTTGCATTTGAGTACTGTACCCCTCCAGTTGGCTGACAACCATTTTGTGCTGGAAGTATAAAATGAGGCAAGTCACTTATGCAGCGGAAATGAGGTTGCTCCATTATCATGCTGTTTTGGTTTGTATCTTTATCCATTACTACATTTTTTTGAAGAATAACTTAATTTAAACATCTGAATGTGATTTTCAATTATGTACAATAAGGTAGCAGAATAATTATACATTTACAAAGCATGATGTGTAGCAAAAGAAGATTTTTATTTTACAGTGGAAAAACAATGTGCCATCCTGGATTTGCAATCTTGAATTGGTGACATGTGTATGTTTTGTTTAGTTTTTTTTACTTATGAACTGGATCTTTATCAAGAACCCAGAAATAGTAATCAACTTTATTCTGTGGACAAATAGACAATGATGGATTGAGAGAGAGAGAGAGATCCCTTGTGTTTTTGTCCTTTTTGTCCTATGTTCTCCCCTTCTTTACTAAGGCAATTAAAAAAAATAGACAAAAGTACAATAAAAACAAACTATACCTGTTAGGCAAGTAGGTTCAAATTTGGTCACAGTAACTAAATTGTTGCCAGCTAAGCTTGAAGTAGATCAAATCAGTAGTCAACGTGATGAAAGAAGAAAGAAAGAAATATATACATTTACAGTATCTTGACACCACCCTGTTTGGTGCCCTACAAAGGAAAGAATTTATACTTGCTCTCTATTATGTTAAACTGGGCAAAACACAGCACTCTATTCTTCTTTAAAGCTGCTCAGGACAAGTTTTATTAACTTGAACCCCGTCCTACAGGTTTTCATGGGGTGGGGTGTGGTGGAGTGAGGTTGGGCAAGGTAAGAACACAGGGGAATTCTGAATAACTTTGGAGGACTATCTTTAGAACCAAAGAGGTGGGAAAATGAAAATAGGGACCACTACTTGGGAAAAGGAAAAACACAAAGTTTCTTTCTACTAGTGTTAGGAAAGTAAACATTTTCTTTTATTTATTTATTTACTTTTTAAAAACAACCACCTATCTAGGGACAATAGTATTTCTTTCTGTTCTGAAAGCTCCAGCCAAGGTTGCTTTCAGACAACAGATCTGATGCAAATGATTATAGCCCAAAGTTCTGGTGTTCCCTTAGGCAAATGCATGATGTCAAACAACTAAAGATGGAGTAGCTCTTCTAGGCATGTTCCTGGCCCTAATTAGTGTTTATTTTACATTTTGCTAGAGGAAAGCTACCACACTGAAGACAAAATATGGGCATTAAACAGTCCCACAGTGAAGTTCCTCTTCCCAATGGCTGCATGAAACAATATTAATGAATAAATCTCATTAGTGCCCAGAGGCATTTGGCTGCATCTCTGTTTCACAAAAGGTCAAAGAGCTGGTTGTGGCCTAGTTTTGATTTCTAAGGAGCTAAGCTGCTTATCTCCTCCAATTCACCTTCAGGTATCCACAGCTGTTCATTACTGTCCATTGCTCAGTTTTCAGAAGTCTTGAGTGGTATCTCATGCATGTGTAGACTTGATCTAATGCAAATCTAAGCAGATTGCTAAAATGTATACTAATTCCATCAAGTTGCTTATTGAACCTTTGACTTTATATCAAAATTAAGTCTTCCAAGAGTTCTTGGGCAAAGCTGATCTAATATAGTAGAAAGGACTACACATTTTCTACGTTCCATCTCAATTACTACATTAGGAATGGTCATCTTGTAGGTAGGACATTTGTAGTCCTCAATGCTCCATCAATAGATCCATAACTCCTCCCAGAGTATAAGTGGAGGCTTTTCTATTTCATCTTAGGGCTTAGTGTCATGAGAAAAATAACTTTTAAGCCCCTGCAAAAAATGGAGCATCATGCTTGGTTTTTACCTATATCTAATTCCTAAAATGAAACAATGAGACTGAAATTTCAACTCTACCCATCTAATAAAAAAAAAACCTCCAGCCTACAGTTAAGGCATAGAAAAGTTCAGTTCTTCCTTGCCTAAAATGTTCACACTCCTCTGACTAAAATGGAGCTCATTCACTATTTCATCAGATGTTTCTTGCACTCTAGTTGACCTGCTCAAGTCTGAGCAAGGTCAGCCTAGGTACATCTATCTTAAAAGGAAGATGATTTGGACCACTGCAGGTGTTACAATCAGAGCCCATAGAATGGAGACTGTTTAAATGCACAAATCAAAAGCCCCCAGTACCCACTGAGTACCCAGGAATCAGGAACTGATATTGTCTTGTGGGTCAGGTAAGCATTCAATAAGCAATTGTAAGTGTACAATTGAAGACTATCAAACTTTAGTTTGTTAAATGGCAAAGAACATACATATTTTCTTCTACTTGCATTTCAATGGAATGGGGTCAGCCTGAACCCCTTCCTATTTAAGGGGGGTCTGCTAACTATTTAGCTGGGTTCAAGATCTTATAAAGCCCTGAAATCCAACTTTAGGCACCCATCCAAAACCTCATTCTTTACCCAAAGCTTCTCTGATGAATGGCTTGTTATTCATTGCTTCCCTTTCTCCTGCCCCACTTTGTTGAATATTTATAATAGTTTTAATTGACTGATTTTAATTGTGTTTTAATCATTTGTAAACTACCCCGAGATGTAGTTGCAGCTTAATTAGCCTCCCCCAGTAGCGTTGCCAGATAGGTTGACTTGCAAATTGCATCATTCCCCCCCCCCAAATGTCATTGGGGGTGGTAATGGGAATGCCTAGCTATCTCTTAGGATATAAACACTGAGCAATAGCAGTCCAATAGCACTTGGGTTTCTCAACTGCGGGGGGGGGGGTTGCTCACCATGCCTGCAACTTATTTACTAAACTACAAAACGTAGATGAAACAGAAGAGAATGGAGCAAATGGTCAAAACACCTTTTCAAGTGCAGGTTTGCTACACAGAAAGAGCTATCTGGCTGCATCAACTACTGCTTTAGTTA